GCTGACGGGGTGTGAGCAGAGCCAGATACGGTACGCACAACATGACAGGGCAATGCAGAGAATCTTTGTCACTGCCAAAAAACAAAACACACACTCGAGGCATAGTTTAGTTGGAAGGACTCTCCGTCCTGAGGAAAGGCCAGCACTTCTGGACCGCATACCTGTTGCTGCAGGACATGTCTCTGCGTCATCGTCCAGAGGAGGGAGCGGAGGTGGAGGCGGTGGTAAATCATTCTCCCTGTCATCAGTCCCCTCAACAGCAGATGTCCCTTCAGCTTCTGAAGCTGCGCCACCTGCTGTGGCAACTGTTCCATCTGCTGATGATGGAGCTGCGGAGGAAGGCACCGGGGGGAGGAGGTCCGAGGGTTGGCTGTTCACAGTGCTGTCCTTGTTCTGATCCCTACTGACGGGGAGCGCGGGCGGCGGGCAGGCGGCCTCGGGGATGTCGTCAAAATCGAAGGGTTCCCCCTCATCTTCATCTGCAAAAGAGATGTCACCTGCCAACACTGGACAGGTTCCAGATGTGCCAGGTGTTGGATTTGAGTTAGATTTAGAGAATAATAGATATCGCTTTATTATATTATCATGTAGTGCAAACTCTGAGGTGACAGACACACTAATTATGAGTTTACCACAATCAGCTAAACACGTTTTGACTGCATGATAATAGTAACAATACTTAAACGATGCTTTAACATCTGTAGCATCACGGGTGGGGCTGCAGCTCTGGAAAAAGAGGCTGAGGACACAGACACAGATACGCTCTGGGTGGCATTTGAAACCTGCAGGACTGAACCACATACAGACTTCTAATTAAGGATGGGCTTGACTTTACTGCACAAGCGTTGGCATCGGGGATTGGCACCGAAGCAGCACATGCACTGGTTTTACAGCAAAAACAAACTGGGGGGTTACAACGCACAGCTAGCATTCAAAGGCATTCACATCAGAGCGCTCAGCTGACAGGAGACAGGAAGGGAGCTACAAATATCTTTCCAGTTTCCACACTGCAATTAGGCCAGCAGGAAAGAGAGCTGTTACTCCCTTCAGCGAGGGCTACAGCCTGAGTTCATGCATTATTCCTGGTTTAGGAATGCTCAGCCTTCATTAGCAGGCTTCAGCTCCAACATGGATACAGACAGTAGGTGAAAAAA